CTCCATGTACACTTTATCACCTCAGATTTAACGTCAAGGTCACAAATCAAGGTCAAAGTAAAAAAAATTGTCCCGCCCATAACTTTAATCCACTCAAGGTAATCTAACAAAATTTCATACAAACATGCGCCATGACTAAATGGAGCGCCTTAAGCACTTTTCATCACCCCAGCTTTAAGGTCAAAGTCACAAATCAAGATCAAAGCTTTTTTTGGGTTTGCTTGTTCTTATCATAACTTAGGACACTCGGGTAATCAAACAAAACTTCATACACATCATCACTAAATGGAGCACCACATACACTTTATCACCCCAGCTTTAAAGTCAAGGTCACAAATTAAGGTCAAAGCAAATATTTTTTTGTCCTGCTCATAACTTTGGATCCACTCAAGATAATCTAACAAAGCTTCATACAAACATGCACCATGACTAAATGGAGCGCCATATGCACTTTTCATCACCCCAGCTTTAAGGTCAAGATCACAAATCAAAAGTTGAAACAATCATTTTTTGTGTCCTGCCCAAAACTTCAGACCCATATTCTTCATCACTAGATGAAGTGCCACTTTGCATCAGTGCCGCTTTAAGGTCAAGGTCACAAATCAAGGTCAAAGCTTAAAAAACAGTTTTTTTGTTTTTCCTGCCCATAATTTCAGACCTACTCAAAGTAATCTAACAAAACTTCATACACACATGCATCATCACTAGATGAGACTCCACATACACTTTTCATCACCCCAACTTTAAGGTCTAGGTCAATCAAGGTCAAAGTTAAAACGATGTTTTTGCTTGTCCAGCCTTAACTTCTGATCCTCTCAAGGTAATTTTATGAAACTTGGTACACACATGCTTCATCACTAGAATGTTGTGTGATGGTCTTATCACTGCAGCTCCAAGATCAAGGTCCCAAATCAAGGTCAAAGTATATTTAAAGTCTTTGCTTGTCCAGTCGTTTCTATAGATGGCTGCATAATAGTTTGTCAACGTGCCGGAAGCTGTCCTATTGTTTTTCTTCTTCTGTGTAAATATTGGTGTCGTTTAGACGTAAAACCGGCTGTAAATACGTTTTCAGATTCAACAGAAACGAGCTAAAATCACGACTGTTCAGCTTTTCTAATAAACTTGTTTTGTTCCTGAAAACCACTCATGAAATAAACTGAGGGAATAAACACCAGTACAGGTTTGAAATTCTAACAAGGTTTTGAAAGAAATGCATTTCAGCAACTTTACTTCTGTAAATTAGCAGGATAATAAAAAAAAAAAAGTATTTTGTCGTACTTTACCAATTATAGCAAACATTAAATAAATAGGCCTAAAAACCACTTATTGTGGGTTATTTTGCATTTTAGTTAATTAAAACGAACATTCTTTAAACCTAAAAGAATCCCGTGTGTAGGGTTATTCTTTGTATTATGCTGTATTTTAACTTCCTATGGTGAGGTTCATCTGTTCTTGACTCACTGTATTAAATACAGTAGTCCCGCGCTACTTCGCAGTTCGTTTTTCGTGCACTCGCTCTATCGCCGTTTTTGAAAGTAAGACTGGACATGACACACAATTGGCTGATTGATGGATGAGCCACCGTTGGAAACGCACAAAGCATCGTGACTGGAAGTTCATACCATGGCAGCAACAAAGGCAGGGTTTAGTATCTGGCGTGGGATATTTTATTATTAAACTTTATTTAACCAGGCAAATCCCATCGAGATCACGGATCTCTCTTGCAAGGGACACAAGGGAGGGGTGCAGTTGGAGATTGTTCAGGGGCCACTTTTGGCCCTCCAGCCATACGCTGTTCACGTCAGCTCTAAATCTCATTCAGGACGTGACAAAACAAATGAAATCCTGACCACTGGTAGGGAAAAAGCTGGGCGGTTTTTAAATGGAAGTCAAATCCAGAGAGGTTCAGACCCTCAAAAAAAAAATCAGGGTGGGTCAGTTTTGTTGAGCTTCCAAATGATGCGGCGCATGATTTGTTTTGTTGATACTTCCTGTTTGTTTGAGTGATGAGAGGAAGCAGCGGGGTGGCCTTTGTTAGCATCGCTGCCTGCATCAGCCATAAAAACTAAAACAAACTGGGAGGATCGTTTCCACTCCGCGCCGAAAGAACTTCAAAACATCCTAATCGTTTTTTGAGGGAAGCTCGGAGCCGTGTCATTGTGCGTGCTCGTGGGCCTGCTTTGATTGATGCCGTCAGGGAGTTTAGAGAAAGACGGCGGCGGCACGGGAGGGAGAGGAGATAAGGAGGGAAAGAGGAGGGAGATAAAGAGGAGAGAAAGCCCAAGAAGCATCCATCAACCGGCACAATCAGATCGTTTTTCTTGGCGTTAGGTCTTTCTTTCTCATCAATCCACCGGCGCGCTCTTGGATCCTAATGCATGTATTCGCTTGAATACATTGAACAAATGCGCTCTGCATGCCTCCGGTCAGGCATCAGGAGGATATTGAATCACCGGAGCTTTAGGTGGGAGGCGGCACCACCTCCTCCACGCTCCTCGTTTAAACTCGCACACGGCGTCCGTGCGCTTTAGTTGTTAATCGACGTCCTCGGCTCATTCGTTTGTTTCATTTTGCTTTTCATTAAGCGGTCGTTTCCATCGCCGGCCTCGTTTAATGAGCGTCTCACCGCCATGCGTAGCTCACTCACAAACGCACACTCAATCTGCCATCGTGTCCCCCTCTCAATTAGGATTGTTTGTCGTCCTCGTGCCCTCCGTCCCCCCGTTCGTTTGGGCCGCCCCGTCTCTCGCCGCTGTCTCACCGTGGCAGCCGTGTCGTTGTGTTTGACAGCTTCTCATTCTCTTGTCAGATCTCGTTTGGCCGCTAATTTCATACGTACACAGCTCGCCACGCGCCGATGCGTAATGTCTCTGAACTGTCTGTCGGGAGGAGCGCTGATCACAAAACAAAGTTCATAGAAGGAAGGCGAGACTCGGTTTGCCTTCGCACGGTCACATCTAAATGTTTGGCATGATCCAGCAGGCTGTTGTCCTCGTCGCAGAGCGAAATGGGCGAATTGGAAATGACCTTCGTCTGCCCGTGAATTTAGTGAGAATAACTTCAAAAATATGTGAGGCACAAACTTCCTTTCTGGTGTGTGGCTATATTTAATAGTTGGAAATGTCTCCTCAAGAAATTGGGTTTCCATGTCAAAATCCAAGATGACCACTACTACATACATACATACTGTGTGAGTGTGTGTAAACCAACCACTTTTACCATTTGAGGAAACTATGCTTTCTATTCGTTACATTGCTTGAAAGTATTGGTGTCCAGATACAGATACCAGTATATGTATTAGGCCTGATACCAGCCACAAGTTCTCATACTTAAAAAAAACACCCTAATACGTCATACCATTGGCGTCATTTCTAATTTGGGGGGGGACACACTGGTGTGTGTGTGTGTGTGGGGGGGGGGGGGGGGGGGGGGGTCTGGTGGTCCTTCCCCAGAAAATTTTGAATAAAGTAGATGCCATTTCCTTCATTCTGGTGTATTTTAACAGCTTGTTAAACATATGTTTATCTACATATATAAACAATTGATTCAATAACTGTTTTAGAGAGCATGGCGGCTGTGGCTGAGTGGTTAGAGCAGTCGTCTGCTAATGCAAGAGTTGGGGGTTCGAATCCACCAGCAGTCACACGCCGAAGTGTCCATGGGCAAGACACTGAACCCCTCATAGCCTCCGATGTGTGTCCCATCAGTGTATGAATGTGATAAAGCACTGATTAGTCTCATTAGAATGATGTGTTCAATTATCTTTGTAGAGATCTAGTAGAGTGCTGTATGAATGGGTAAATGAGGACACAGATTGTGATGTAAAGTGCTTTGAGTATCTTGATTAGATAGAAAGGCGCTATATAAGTACAGTCCATTTACCATTTACAATGCTTGCTTGTACCCCCCACCCCCCCAACGACAACCGCCAGCAGTAACGGAGCGCATACAAATGCACTAACTAAGATGCTACAGACGTAACGTTCCGCTTCTCACGCATCCTAACGCCCCCCTAACCGGGTCAACAATTGTCGGCACTAACGTGGCGCTAAGCTAGCACGCTTCACAGAGGTGTCGCCCCCTGCCCCTTCGACAAAAAACCCTGAAGAAATTAGCGCCATGTCAAGGCAAGTGATCTCAGTGAGACATTGCATGAGGTGTGGTGAGTTGTCGGTAACCAGGAAAACCCGGAGTAGACCTTTAGTGGTTTGAGTATTCTATTAAGCAAGTAGAATGGATTTGTTCACAAAGAAATTGAAACAGCATTGGGTGAGCTAATATTTCATTGTAATGGGGGGGTTGTGACACCAATGAGCAACACAACAGCTCAGTGGTTAGCACTGTTGCCTCACAGCAAGAAGGTCCTGGTTCAATCCCTGGTTGGATTTGGGCTCTTTCTGTGTGGAGTTTGCATGTTCTTCTCGTGCTTGCGTGGGTTTTCTCCGGGTACTCTGGTTTCCTCCCACAGACCAAAAACATGCATGTTAGGCTGCCTTCAGGCCACGGCCTCCTTTGCAAAAGAGATCTGTGATCTCAATGGGATTTGTCTGGTTAAATAAAGTTTAGTAAATAACGCATCAAACTGAGACCACTTTTATTCTTGGTGACTTCTTTTCCTTTTCCATTTTTACGAGAAAACCGAGAACAAGAAAGTAAAAATGTCCAAAGTTTAGAAATACTTTAAGAAAAATACAGGTGACCTTAAGACTGCAGACTGTTTGCTGTGTTCTAATTCAATTCAGTTTATTTATATAACGCCAAGTCACAACAGAAGTCATCTCAGGGCACTGAACAGAGACATTCATATGTAAAAATAAGTTAACGGAAACATCCAATCTGAGGAGCAACTACTCTACGCTGATGGCGACTACTATCGGCGAGTACCCAAACTGTGGTACTTGTAATCTGGGAACCTCAGGGATGGGGGACATTGGTATACCACTCGTTTATTCTTATTTTAAGGACATTTCTTTTAAAGCATGGCTTTGTCTTTTTTCCAGCTGGTTGCCGTGTTTGACGACGACCAGCGCGGCAGTTCGACGAGTCCCTCGGAGACCATGTCCAACAGCTTCTCCAGCGCAGACGCCAGTCCAGAACCCATGCACTACTTCCCCCACCTGGAGTACGAGGACCCCAGCAGAGGAGAGATTGAAGTCAGCGAGGCCATCCTGAAAACAAGTTGGTCACTTCCTGTTCAAATCTACTTCAACTAAGCTACTGTGTGGTGAAGGAAACAGATGTTGCTTTTATTACAATGAAGTAAAACGTGAAACTGAAGCGAAACTCAATTAACGCTTTCACGAGTTTTATAAAAGCGAGAAAATGTATCCGCGTGAATGTGGAGGTGTATGACTGCATGTACGGGGCAGATGGGAGTTCAACATACTGAGTGAAGAGACATTTATGTGAGAACAGATGAACTGTTGACGCAGCGTTCTCTCCCATCGTCTTCACTTTTTAAAATTGTTTTATTTATTCTTATTTTCACTCATCGCTGAGGCTGTGAACCAGCAGCAGAGCAGGGTTTATTTTTATATTCACATATAAATTAATTGCTGAAGATGAAAAAAGTTTTCACTGAGATTTAATTGGAAGGAGCTCATTTACACATTTAACAGATGCAAACTTCTCCATAATTCTTGTTTGTTTCTTCTCGTCTTCATACTGTGCATCAACAATGTAAAATAACCCCCATTTTTTTTAGTTTTAACAGTAATTAATATAAAATGTCTTTAATTGCTCTTCTTTTTATCACATTTGTTGCCAATATACACATGGATACTGTATCCCATAAGCACTCGTAAATTCATGGTTTTACTATAGACATGGTGACACTTGAACAGTTGTGGTCAGAATCAGACTCAACTATTGTCATTGCACAGTTAAGCACAGCAAAAATACATTTCAGTGCAGCTGTCCAAGGACAACAATGGTAGATGGGGGTACATGGAGGCTGCAACTTCATTGTGAAGCGCTGCCATTATCTTTTAGATAAGAAAAGGGAGGAGAAACATGAGGAAAGAAGGTATAAAAAAGGTCTCGCACTGTGTCCTTGACACACAGAACACAGTGTAAGGTAGCAAAAAACTACCTCGGCACAAAAAAAAAAGCATAGAGAGACATTTTGCAGGGGGTTGGGGGGTGAGATTGTTCGTGAACACTGCCAGAAAGTTCCATAGTCCTGGTAAGATGGCACAGTGTCCATCAGCCGGCTCAGCTCTGATTAGGGTCCACAGATGCTCTCGTGGGGGAGCAGGAGCAGACCTTCATGATTTACATATTCTCCAGGAGCAATTTGAGATAAGTTGGTCTATCCAAGGCTAAGCAGGGAGGCCATATTTAGATAAACAGTTGTTTTGGGGCAGGCGGACTACTGATTTCATGTCTGCCTTTCATAGTTCTGCTGGAACACTCAATGGCGAATCCAAACAACCAGATTTATGGTCATTCCACCGGACCATGCTTGTAGCCTTCTCCAAGGTTGATTCCTTCATGACAGCGAGTTCCAGGCTCGCAAAGCATCTGAGTCTGAGCGATTGAAGCTCGGTAAGATCCTTCACATAGGCAGGCAGCCTCACCATTGCCAAAAACTGCTGCAGACATCTTCCTAATTTGTCTATCCCAGGTACACGCAGATTCCATAAAGCAGATAATCCGGTAGTCCAATCCAATTATTTATGCGTCGTGTGTCCCTTCAGGGCACGAGGGTTCTCCTGCACCCTGTTTTCTCATCGAGAAAATTATTTCAGTTGCGCTGAGGGACCAGCTGATCAGATCCATAATCACCACTGAGTTGTTTTTTATTTTTTTTTCTTAAAGATATGAAAAGTATTCTTAACTCAAGAATGACGTTTTACTTAAGTCAATGTCAGTTTTCTTTGTATAGCACTGTAGATGAACAGATGCTGAGATATATTCATCAATTAAAACGGGTTCTTCATTTTTCTGGACTGTGTAACATACGTGCATTGAATTTAATAAAATGTAACGTGAGACGTTATTTATCTTTGACCCATCAAAATGAATGTGGCCATTTATTTACAGAATCAAAGTTTAACATCAACATTTACATTAATTTGGCAAAATATGAAAATAACAACATAATTAATCAGCGAGCTGTACAATTATGATCAATTATCCACACGGCGGTGGATGAGCACTTTACACAGACATTTCTAAAAATATCTGTCAATGATTTCTACTTGATAGAAGAATTTTTAAAGATGGAAAGATGAAGTTTAGTGGGAGTGAAAGATGGATGAGGGAGAATGTGGTGTGTATGAGTGAAAAGTGTTGACAGGACGACACCCTCCATCCGACCCAGCTTTTCCTCGGTACGCTCAGTAGTGGACTAGACTCATTTACCTCTCTGACGATGAATCAGAAGAAGAGGAGCTCCAGTTAACGCTACCTTTCAGCGTCTCCATAGGATGGCTGTGACTCGTCCGAAGTAGTGACGATATCCCGTCTGACACAAGTTCACCTCAGCCAGTTGACCTCACATGAGTGGGGTTCGTCCGAGTTCCACTCAGAGGTGAAGATGTTATAATCCCATAAAACTCGGAAGAGCTCTATCATGTCAGGGTTTTCCTGTTTCCCAGCCTGACTCCAACAGAACTTCACAGAACTCACAGAACTGAGAACTGGGCACATCACAGAACTGCCACTTCACCGAACATCTCCGAACTGCTACCACACAGAACTGGGAGAACTAGGAAGTACCGACATTTTAAAGGGCTCTATTCCCGGTTCATTTGGGAGTCCCTGATTGGTCAATGTCGACCAGATAGGGGTGTGTTTTGTGACGTAAGAGGTTACTAGAAGTCAGAAAACAGCAAGAATTGTTATGGAACAGATTAAAAATGTTCTCAGAGACAGAGAGAGAAATGTTTTGGCGAGTTTGGAGAAACAGGTGCCAACTTCTCTGTTGACGTCTGAGAGGATGTAAAACAACGACCATTCGTTCCAACAACTTGTCTGCTTCGACTCCTGACCTTGGAAAACGTACACTGCTCATTCAAAGACAGAAATCAGAAAATGCATAATTACTCTGTAACAGGCCTTAACATGAATTCTACTTTGCATAAGCAACTAAAAATCATTGTTACTGTTTTACAGTTAATAAAATTGATTAGTTCACTGTAACATCTAAAATGTTTGAACTAAAACACTTTGATTATCAAACATTTGTAAAACAGGAATGATAATAGAAAAGAGAGTGTTCTTTCACTTGAATTTTCAAGAAAGAAAGTCTCAGGATGGGTGAACCTGTATTTCTGGATTCAAATCAATGAAATGACAGTTTCTGTCCCACAAGGTTCTTAAGGTCAAGGGTTTTGACCTTAGGCTTAGTTTTGACATCAGGTCAAGTTCACTACAGCACGTTATGAAAACTGTTGACCAAAGTTCTTCGAAAGGAGGTTTAAAACAAATGGCAAGAACCATCAGTGAAATTTATTACTTAAAAAAAAAATCACACGTAAAAAGAAAAAGTATGATTTAAAAGGCAAAAAAACAACTTAAACAAGAAAATTCAACTTCAGAAAGGATGGACTTAGAATAAAAAGTGAAAGTAAAGAAGTGAGTTTACAGGAAGGGTTTAAAAAATGTAGTCTGTAGTACGAATGTCAAGAGGCAGCTTGGTTCTGAGTCTTAGGGGCCTGGTTGGTCCAGAGTTTTTGGAGGTAAGTTGGTCCAGAGTTTTTGGGGGTAAGTTGGTCCAGAATTTTTGGGGGTAAGTTGGTCCAGAGTTTTTGGGGGTAAGTTGGTCCAG